TTCGCCCGTGACGACCAACGGGCCGTGCGGACTGAGAGCCGTCAGCCCCGGCGCCTTGGCCAGCGTTGGCGGGCGCCCAGGTGGGCCCTGAAGGGACCTTCCGCGGGGGCGAAACGTGGGGGCTCTGGTGCAGGTTTTCCGGAGACGGGGGGCCATGGATGGACGCCGGGATGCCCCCGGGCAGCAAGCCGGTGGCTGGCAGAAAATGAAGGCCTCGCGAATGGCGCCCGCCGGCGGCGCCCGGCCTGCGCGCCAGCGCCGTGCCCACGCGCGTCGAGCTCGCCGCCAAAGGTGCCCTTGCGGTGGAGATCAAGCTTCTGGATGAGCCCTTGCCGCATGTTCCCGGCTCGACTCGCCCTCCTCACGGATCATCATCTCGCGCCCCAGATCGCGCCCCAGCGCCGTGATGGAGCGGCGCGACCCGCCAGCGGCGTTGACGTCAAAGCTGGCGCGGCTCGTCAGGTTTCCGTCGGGCCCGGGCACGGGTAGGGTGCCTGCCCTGTCGAGGGCAGCCGCGGGCGGTTCGTCGCCGGCGAGCTGGGCATCGAGGGACTTGGCCGAAAATTCGGGAACGGGAGGCGGCGTGATGTGAAAGGCCGGGTCGATGCCCGAGGGGAGCGGCGTGCTGTCGCGGCCCATGCTGGCGTCAAAGGCCTTCCTCTTGGCCACGTCGAACACCTCGAGCCACTCGGTGAGCTCGCCCTGCGTCTCGGCCTGCAGGACCATGGTCTGGCTCTTCGTCTTGATCTCGAAGCAGAAGCGGCGGTCCTCGGCCACGGCCGGCTTGGCGCTGCACAGGAGGACGCCGATCTCGTCGCCCTGGAGAACACCTTGGGGGCCCTGGATGAGCCAGCCGAAGATGCCGTCGCGGCAGTAGTACCAGCGGCGCACCCAGTTGGTGCGCGCGGGTTTGCCGTAGACGCTGCGCAGGAAGAGCCAGCCCTGCTTCTCGGAGATGACGGCGGCCTGGTCCTGGGCCTGCACGTTGACGGGCCCGCGGCTGCCGAGGTAGGGCACGGTCGAGGCGCTGTAGTCGTCGAGCTCGCGCGAGGGCTTGGTGGCCTCCTTGGCGCCGTGGCTGATCTCCCTGCGGACGCGCATGAGCTCGCGGCGGAAGACGGACTCGGTGGCGTCCATCTCCTTGGACCAGCCGCGGATGCGGTCCATCTCGGTGCCCCACTTCATCATGTCAATGACGGACTCGTGGGCGCGCTTCAGCTCCTTCCACATGTCGGCGCTCACGCGCACGAGCAGCTTGTCGAGGGAGAAGCGCAGGTGGGGCGCCATCTGGCAAAAGTCCATCGAGGCGGCGAGGTAGATCTTGCGGGCCTCGTACACGGCAAAGGCGTCCTCGCGCAGCGACGAGGGCTCCTTGGTCTTGGGCTGGGCGACGTAGCGGGGCGAGCATCTGGTCGAACTGGCGCTGGGCGCTGTCGAGAGCCCGGCGCGTCTCCTTGAAGGACCGCAGCTCGCCTGTCAGGAAGGCGCGATGGGTCGACGTTGATGCCGTCCATCCTGCGCATGGTCGAGATGACCTGGGACCACCAGGCGCGGATGCATCGCTCGATCGGCGCAGGGCGAGCAGCGTGTAGTCGTTGTCGATGACGCCATCGACGGCAGCGGCGGGCGGGAAGCTCTTGGCGAGGCAGAGGTTGATGTTGTCCCTCGAGGGCGAGGATCTCGCGTGCCACCTTGGACGTCGCTTTTGTGTAGTCGTCGAGCCATCGTTCAATGGCCTCCACCTGGTCGGAGAAGTAGGCGGCCGTCGCGCGAAAAGTGGGGGAGTCGAGTCCAGCTTCGTTGAGGCCGACGGGGATGGCTGGACTGGGCTGCTGCTGCTTGGAGCTCGTTGTCGCCGGCGGTGGTGGTTTCGACGGCATCGCAGCAGCTGCTGGTGCTGGTGCTGGTGCTGGTGCTGGTGGTGGCTCGGACATGATGACGGCAGCACCACGGTATGTGTGCCAGGAAGCCTCGGGGAGGCGCTGTGAGGTCGGGCTTTGATGGTATCGATGCGTGTCTCTACATCAATGGCCTGGGGATGGGGAAGGTCGGAAGCTCGAGGGGAAGGAAGCTCGTGAAGGAGCATGTTTGTCGGATGACGTCGCCAGGCTGGCGCTTAAGGGGGAAGCCTCGGGAGACCTGGGAACGAGTGGCAGACAGCTGGCAAGCTTCCGGTTCAATCACGTGTGGGTTTTTCCCGATGCGAGCACGATGCGAGCACGATGCACTGTCACAACATGGAGTACGAAACCGAGCAAGCGTTGCAGTCGCATCAAGAGCGAAAATGGTTTACTCTGTGGCAGTGGATGCAATATTCTGTCTATACGATTATGCGGGCAGGTCCTCGCTTTCGGGTGTCGCGAGAAGCTCGCCGTCTCGACGTCAAGATCAGTCAACACGTGAACCTGCATTTCGTTGCAATACCCAGCTAGGTACCTGTTGGCTTGCGTGATCAGATCCGAGGTCGTGTGCCTGAGAGAGGTAAGCGCAAACAAGGGAACATGATACAGGGACTTTCGCAACGGCATTGAGCTCAAGTGTCCGTATCATGTGACATGGCTCAAGGCAGAAACGTCCTTGGCCCTCGATTCGTATATGCAGATGAAAGAAAACCATGCCGACCCCCCAGAAAGCCATCAACAGCTAGACACGTGTACCGACGGCATAAAACGACACCCTCACTCAGCTAGCCAGGGATCACGACCATCCGGACGCACCGTGGAACCGTGGAACCGTGGAGGCGGCCATCCAAACTACCGGGACGATCAGTCTCCGCAAAAAGTTGGCAGCGATGCAGATGGTGACAGCACGGTGAAGAGATTTGGGAGGCATCCGACAGTGCCTTGCGTACCTTATTGAGAAACGCTCTGGCAATTGGCAACCAAATGCCACGCAAGCCACCTCAAGATCCCCAAGGTGCATGGCGACAGGGGTCCGCATTGGCGTTTCCCTGCTGCGCCTCACGCCAATCTTTGCCACGGGTGTGGCGCCCCAGCCTGGCTCGTTCTTTTTTTGGCACCTGTAGACTCTCGGTCGTCTCCGACCCCAAGCAAGCATCAGCAAGCATCAGCAAGCATCAGCATTCTGCGATCGCCCATCATCCATCCTCCTAATGCGCACTTTGCATTTTCGACTTCGCCATCTACCATGTACCATGTACAGCGTCAGTCGCCTTGCGTCAAGCATATGCTCCTGCATTTGCCTGCCACCTGGCACTGCACAGCTTCGTCCCTCTTGGTGGGCCGATGACCCGGTACGATCGACTGAGACCTGCCAACGAATACCCTGTGGTGAGGGGTTGTCCCATGCTCCTCCCTAGCTACCGACCAGGTTCCTGTACATCTGGTACCCCCATTTGCCTGGAATACGAATCGCATCGTTTCGCCCTATCGGTCACGCCCAGTCTTCACGAAAGGACGAGAGAAACACAAAAAAAAAAAAAGAAAAACAAAAAAAGTCCCGACAGCAACGCCAGCGGATGCCCTGCTGCTTGGCGCCGCCTAGAGGATCTACAACCGCGCAACGGTCGGCTCGGTCCTGTCGGGTGGATCACGGAAGCCCCAAACGAGAGCCTCCTCCGAGCCTCTCCCTACCAGTTGGCACACCGTCGGTGACACCCAAGAAAATTCCGTCATGTCACCCTGAGCGACTTTCGGACCTTCCATGTTCTGTTTCCATCCGGCTTTCTCGAGAGCGGTCAAGATGCTCATGTGATCCGACCCCCTGGCTTTCCTGTCGTCTCGTGATGCCCACGATCAAGTCACAAGGCGGTCGGCACGACTTTGTCCGGGCTGTCAGTACCAGCCACAGAGCGCAAGGGGCCCCGTGGTCTCCCAGCCTTTCAACAATGTAGCCAGGTTGGAACCATGCTGCGTTGCCGCCTGTACGCAGTCGTAAAACGGCCAAGCAGAATGACACGTTCCATCGACGATCCGTCGCCCTGCTCTGGCAAAGCTTGGGACATGCTGACAGGTCAGGTGGTGCGCAACAAACACCCAGGCTGCTAAGCTGGCATGGAGCTGAAGCGCAACTAACTAACCCTGACGTGAGCGACCAACAGCATGGGACGCGTACCAACAGGCCGGTTCTCGGGCTTACAGCCTCAAGCCAGGAAGGACTATTGACCAGAAAACAATCAACGACATGTGCACCGTGCTACTGGATGAGGATGCTGCCTCCGTCTGGCAATCTGTCACCTTCTTGCATTGAGACCCCTCTGTACCCCCCGAGCTGGGCCGTCCCTCACGCAGAGATACAGGACCTCTCAATGGTCATTGGACAGCTGCTGGATTGGGCCATATCGAAAAAGAGGACGATCGGTCGGCCGGACTTCCTAGGATGATTTGACATGGCTAGCTTCCGCTCGGTCCTTGACGGGACGAAGCCGCTTCACGATCTGGTAGTCGAGCCTCGAGGCTTGTCGACCTCTCGTGGGCATACTCTGCAGTCATACCCCATAGTATCCTCCGAAGGACCCCCTCTCTGCATGCTCGATGCTCCCACTTCTGGCGCCATGATGCCTGGCACACAAGGGAACACCGTCTCACTCGGCATCATGGACTCGCAAAAAGGCACCCCCATTGGACAATAAGCCATCGAATTTCCTGATTATAAGCCAATCACGAAATGGTAACAGACTCCTTCGCTCGGCCTGGACTCGAGCCTCCACAAGACTTTCAACTTGGCTGCACCACAAGCAGAGGCCAATCAGCAGCCAAAGCCAGGTTCTCGCTCACTCACCCCTCCACTGGTCTTCCGCCACTAGCAGGGGTTCAGTAGCCAACAACCTGGCAATATGGTATCGACAGGTTCTCATCAACTGAAGCCATCCTGTCTAGCCAGCCATCGTCCAACCTCTTTCACGCACAATGGCACCCCCTTCCCCCCCCTTGACTCGACGTCCATGCCAAAAAGAAGGAGCTCTACGGTTCGGGAAAGGTGTCTTATCGCGCTACACAAGTCACGGATGGGGAGGAGCTCATGGGCCCAAGCGTGCCCGTCCTTAGCCTATTTCGATGTCGTTGTGGGTTTTGCCTGCTGTTCCGCCGAGCGGCACTTGGCAACTCTGGTCTCTCCTCCTTTCTGGATATGGCGCAGGATGTTACCCCGTCCGAGCTTCTATGCGGGATCCCAAAGCGAGGCGGACCGAGTCAGGGTCTCGGGCGTCTCTGCTGGACGATGACTCCTTTTACACGGGGTTCCAATGCCGTGTGTCGAAGCCGCCGAAGCCCTGTTGAAGCAGCTGTGCTGCCGTCCAGAGAGACGCAGGCTGCATATGACGATATCCAGTCACGATGTGTCCTTGAGGCGTCTTCTACCATGGCTACGACGCGCTATCTTGTTTCAAAAGATCATCTCCACAGCCAAAGACAGGACGCCTCACCATGCCATTGACGTCCGGCCGAGCCACCCGTGATGCATCATGTAGGCACGGCACGGTACGCTGGAGCACACGCAAAGGCAAGGCACGGGCGAAGGCAAGCAAGAGCCCATCTGCAGGTCATAACTCACTTGCGCCAACGTGCAGGGTCGATAACGCGCCACGTCCAACGATCTGATCCAGGAATGGCAGTCTGAGATGAGAGCGAGATGACGGTCGTTAGGTCCGTGGACTATCAAACTTTCAGCTTGTGACGTGACGGCTCTGACTGGCAGACGGCAGAGCAGCAGTAATCTGGAGGCATGACGCGGGCTCGGGGCCATTTAACTTGGCAGGAGGACCACGTCCGATGCAGCAATGATGGACTTGTCTGAGGAGACCTGGACAAGGACCGACTCGGACGACGGCATAGACGCAGCCATTCTCGAGGTGATCTGGCCTGGCCGTGAGGGAGGGGACGCCCTCCCCCCCCCCTCCATAGGCTCCAATCACGGCACGCGGGAACGTGTTTCCCCTTTTCTATCTGCTACTGGATCTGCTACTGGAAAGGCGTGAACCATGGACAAAACGTCTGGAAATCGGGAGGAAGGACTAGGGAAGGGGAGAAGGGGGGGTGCAAGTCTGGGGATGATGCAGATGGAGAGACATCAGAAATCAGAAAAAGCGGAATGGTTTCTTTTCGAAGCCAGGTGGGCTGACTGACAGGTACCGATTCGTCGCGGCACGGGGTTCACCTTCATGCCGTTGCATGCACCTACTACGACGGGTGTAAGACGAAGCGCCGCCGTCGTCGACAGGAGTACTGTGGCGACGTCAACGAGTGTCGTCAGCGAAACCCTGCGCCTGCCCCTACCGGATGGCCCATTTGTCTCGGGCCAACAAAGCGACGTTGCGAACAGCGGCCGGGAATTCGGGTCCACGATGAGGTATCGATGCCCTCGGCTGCGCCAGGAGGCAACACCAGTGATACTGACAGTCGACGACATGGCAAGGCGAGCAGTCGAGCGCGAGGATGGTCGTTGGGCGACGCAAGGGGTGGAGTCGACAGCCAGGGTTGGATGAGTGACTTGGGGCGAGTAACGGTACCTCCGATTGCCTTTTTGCCCTGTTGCATTCGTTCAGCTGCCCTCTCCTTGTCCCCGCCGCGCAACGGAGCCTCCTGGCTGGCTGATGGAAGAGCCGGGGGCAGAGCGCAGGGCGCTGGGGCGGCTCTCATGCAGGTCGCGGTGCAAAAGCCTGCACAGCCTTCGAGACGTGCGTCGGCTGCTGTACCCAGGCATTGCCAGGCGAGCCAGGTGCTTTGCTGCCTGTCGCCTGTCGCCCTGACCGATTGGGGCGCTCCTCGGGGCTCTCTTCTCCTCCAGGCTTCTCCTGCGCAGCCCACTGTGTAGGGTGAAGCGTGAAGGGCAGAGGCCGAGTTCGCCGCCCGCCTCGTCATGGCTTTTGGGCTGCCGGCTCTTGGTACGGGGCACAGGCACGGTGCCAGAAGGGGCCTTTTGCGCCTCGGGAATACCACGCTCATGCTGATCCCTGGCGCGATCTGCCTTTCTCTCTAAGCCGTTTCCCTACTCTGGCAACCTTTCGCAAGCGCCCCTCTTCGTCGCCCAAGCTTGATCCCGGCGCAACGATGGCAAGGGGTGGCGCACAATTGTTTCCGTCCGTGGGTCCCGTTTCCTCTTGTGTGAGTGCTTTACCAGTTCGACCCCAGGACCCCTCTTCAAAGCCAAAATGCTAGCTAGTCCTTGGTGCTGATTGATCGTGGCATACAGAGGCAGTCCGACAACGAACCAGCCGAATTCCTTCACTGGCAACTAACTCGTCTAGTGTGCAGCCGCTTCTCGGGACCAGATCCTGGCGGCCTCAGTGGGAAACGTGGACACGCATTCAAAATAGAAGAGTGACTTTGACGACCACCGGGCCGGCCCCAGAATGGCCACTCTCACATGCAGCTAGACATGAGGTACTTGTACGTACGGGGCCCTTCCATGGTCAGCGGAGAAGGGGGGGTAGGAAAGGAAAAAGACGACAAGACCAAGATGTGTCCGCAGTGGCACTAGCAACATGCAGGCCACCTCCACCCGCCCGCGTCAAGCCGTCCATCCGCCCTCTCTCGCGCTCTCTTTACAGCACTGTACCGTAGGACCATCGTACCAAGCCCCCTTCTCGAGAGACTCTCTCTTTCTCTCTCTCAGCTGCGGCAGGTCTCTATGCAAGTCTGCAGGTCTGAAAGTCTGCATCTGGAGGCTCTCACACACCCACCACCCACACCCCCCCCCTCCTACAAGGGAAAAAGAGGCAGAGAGAGAGAGACACACACAGATACAGGACCCCCCCTTACCTTGTCTTGCCCTTCATACCCTCCATACCTGCGAAGTCGAACTGGCTATAACACCCCACCACCCTCG